CAATATAAGATTATTTCACGGATTTTGTGTGAACGATTGAAGGGTATTATGCCTAATATAATATCAGAAACGCAAGGAGCTTTTGTTGAAGGCAGATTAATTACCGACAATATCATTATAGCTCATGAACTTGTTCATGCGCTTCGTACAAATGATAAGATTGGAAAGGAAAGTATGGCTATAAAGACAGATATGTCTAAAGCATATGATCGGGTAGAATTGAATTTCCTTGAGGTATTATTAGAAAAAATGGGATTCGATCGTAAATGGGTTGTGTGGATAATGACATGCATTACTACTGTCACTTTCTCAGTTTTACTTAATGGACGATGCCATGGTTTTATTAAACCGGAAAGAGGAATACGTCAAGGAGATCCTTTATCTCCTTTTATTTTCATATTATGTGCAGAGGCCTTGGTACATGTTTTGAACAGATCTGAATCGTTAGGGAATCTAAATGGTATTAAACTAGCCAATGGTAGTCCTTCGGTTCACCATTTGTTATTTGCGGACGATAGTTTATTGTTGTGTGACGCTTCTCTCAGGGATAGTGAGGAAATTATGAAAGGTTTAAAACTTTATGGAGATGCATCTGGACAAATGATTAACCCTTCGAAATCATCTATCATCTTTGGAAAAAAAATTACAGATGATATAAAACAGGTGGTAAAAAGGGTTATGGGAATAGAAAAGGAAGGGGGTGAAGGTTTCTATCTTGGCCTTCCTGAATGTTTTCAAGGATCGAAAAAAGATTTACTTAATTTTATCAAAGAGAAATTAGAAGGAAGGTTACAAGGATGGTATTCAAAAACCTTATCGATGGGGGCCAAGGAAGTTTTGATAAAGTCGGTCGCATTAGCTCTCCCTATATATGCAATGTCAGTTTTCCGGTTACCAAAAGGCCTTTGCGAACGAATAACGAGTGCGATTATTGAGTTTTGGTGGAGTAGTGGTGATAAAAAGAGAAAAATTCCTTGGGTTGCTTGGGAAAAATTATGTAAACCAAAAGAACAAGGGGGGCTTGGTTTTCATGACATTGGCCGTTTCAATCAAGCCTTACTCGGGAAACAAGCTTGGCGAATTTGGAATAACCCCGATTCATTGGTTTCTCGAATTCTTAAAGGCAAGTATTTCAAAAATGGTAATTTTCTCGAGTGTGGAATGGGAACTCGACCGTCTTTTGCATGGAGGAGTATCATGCACGGTAGAGAATTACTAAAACAAGGATTGGTTCGCCATATTGGCCATGGTATGGATACAAATGTTTGGGCAGAAAATTGGATTATCGATATTATTCCCCGGCCTCCAATGTATCGAGAAAATAGCTCCATAGATTTAACATTAAAAGTTTCTGATTTATTATTACAGGGGACAAATCAATGGGATATTAATTTGTTACGTCTCACGTTTACATCACAAGATGTGCAAAGGATATTAGCGTTGAAACCGGTTTTGGATTCCCATGATACTTTAAGATGGGGTTTTACACCGAATGGGACTTATTCGACTCGAAGTGCCTATAAGTTTTCAGAGACTTTGGTGGACTACGAACACCCTCCGCAGAGCTCTCTTACTCTAATGGAAAAACATTTGTGGAGAGACCTCTGGAAGACAAAAGCACCTCCAAAAATTAAACATTTCATGTGGCGTGCTCTATCTGGTGCTTTGGCGGTTAAACAACGTTTGGTTACCCGGGGCATTCCTATTGACCAAACTTGCTCTGTTTGTGCTAATGAGGCTGAGAGTATTTGTCATGTTCTCTTTACCTGTGATAAAGCAAAAACCGCATGGGAGCAATCAAATTTCCCTCTACCTCCAGGGGGTTTTTCACGGAATTCCACTTTCTTAAATTTTGTGCATCTGAATAAGATTGCCAAGAATTTAAATTTGGATACTCATATTAGGAATGTTTTC